CCCCCCCCCCCCCCCCCCGCTTGCTCGCCCCTGCCACACTCGAACAATGTGAAGGTCACCCAGGGGGAGCGGTACGATCCCGACGCAGCGCTGGCCGCGGCATGGCTGCCAGAATTGAGTCGCCTGCCCGCAGGTGCGGTGCGAGGGCTGCCCCCGAGGGAGGGGCCGCGCGCGCATGGTTCTTGCAGGCGTGCGTTCGCGTGCTCCCCATGACGCCCAGCAGCACACTGGCCAGCGGCCGTACTCAAGCATCCGCCCGGCTAGCTGATTGTGCTTTGTCGCCTTTTCTCCTTTGACGCGGTGCCGCAGCCCTGCGGCACCGCCCGTGGGAGGCCACCCCTAAGCAGGCAGAGGCGGCCGGGTTTGTGCCCGGGCAGACGTACCCCGACCCAATGGTGGACCCTTCAAACCAGATAGGCGAGGGGCCCAAGGAGCGGCGCCCGCCCAAGGGCGCCGCTGGGTCGCAGGAGCAGCCGCGGGCTCCGGCAGAGCGGATGAAGGGTCAGCGGCGGGGGCGGCAGGCGAAGCAGCTGCGGCCAGCTGAGGGTGCCCCTGAAACGGCAGTGGGGTGAGAATACTGCCGACCAGCGCGATCATGGCAGCTGTCATACTTATATCTATCACTTGAGGCGGCTGGATGAGCTTCAAAGCTGCCTCAGCCTATGCTGCAAGCGCCACCAGTGCGCTGCTGGGCGCGCTGTGCTTGGCGAGGCGGCGCACTTCCCGGGTCCCTGCCACATATGATGCAGGGAGAGCCCCCACTAGATGCTTATGATATCGATTGCTTGTTTTGTTACATATACATCCGAAGGCATTGAACCTGGACTCACCCGACTCTCGCTGGTTGTCCGCCTCTTTCGCGGTTACTCACGAGTGACGCCAGGCGACCAACAGCGGGGCGGAGTGTTTGTTCTTTCAACAAGCTTGCTCAGCACTGCTCAGATCCTGTGGCACGGCAGAGATGGGGCAGAGCAAAAATGGCCTGCTCGACCAGCCCTCAGAAGGCAGACTAATCGATCGGATGAGGACCAGGTACAGGGGATTCATCGACTACGTGGCCACACCAAACGCGTGGCACAGGCCTGACGACACTGTGAGCTCCGCAGCACACACGCCGCTCAAGCTCCTGCTGCTGCGCCCCCTTCAACACGCACCGATGTGTGCTTTCGCAGCGCGCCTGTGCGTGCCATGACACTCACATAGAGGTGTTGCATCAAGGGCCTTGGATCCACGGGTCCCGCACGGCAACGGGCCCTTCAAAGCGGCGGCCGCTGATGGTGCCCTCAACACCCCCTTGCCGCCCGCCCAACCGCCCCCCCTGTCCCTCAACACACAGAAAAAGACGCTCCCCAACCAGTGGGCGCTCCACCACTCCAGGTGGCGCTATATCAACGGCCTCGTCCCCTACCTCGGGCCCCCTATCTACACGCTCCGCAACGTGCTCGCCCCAGTGCTGCTCGTCTGCGCCGTCTGCATCGGCATAAAATTCGCAGAGGGGCGCACCGCCTGGAAGCTGGACGCCCAGAACAACTTCGCCCGGCTGTACCGCTACTCGTCATTCGTCCTGTCCCTGCTGCTGGCGTTCCGGCTGAACCGCACATACGACCGGTGGTGGAACGCGCGGTGCGCGTTTGGCAGCATCGGGGGCGGCGTGGTCAACATCGTGCGGCAGGTGGCCACGTGGAGCGACGACCCCGTGCTCATCAGGTGGGGCGCGGCCGCGGCTATCCTGGGGACTGTGCGGCAGGGCGGGTGGGGATGGGGCGCATTCGACTTGAGGGGGCTGAGGCCTGTTGAGTAGAGGAGGATTGGCGGGGGGGCTTGCGCATCCGCGCTCAGCTGTGGTTCATCTGGTGTTGACCTGATCACACAAACAAACTCACACGCATGAATGTGCGTGCAGAACACACACAACACACACATGTGCGCATGCACAGCGCACATGCTGACACTGAACACATGCTCTCACCATACATATTTACACACCCATTCTTGCATGCTTACGAGTTTCGCACAGGCAGTATCAGAAATGGGGGATGTGCTTGGTCTATGGTATGGTGCAGCTAATCCGCAACAGCCCCAAGACTACGGATCACCGAGTGAAGCTGCTGCTTGATCCGGATGAGCTGAGGCTGTACGAGAGCACCACCAAGCCCAGCAAGCTCTGCGGCAGCATGCTGGCAGCTCTGACTGTGGAAGCAAAGTTTGGGGAGCAGCGAGAGGTGTGCATGTGTGTGTGTGTGTGTGTGTGTGTGCGCGCGCGCATGTATGTTGCATGTGAATGCGTGCGCATCCGTGCATGGGCATGTGCGTGTGAGCGCGTGCGCACGCAGTCATACGTGCCTGCATGTCTAATAAGGGCGTAGTGTGTGGGTACGTGCTTGGTGTGTTCGTTCGCGTACAGGTGGGTGCGTCTCGCCGATAGCTACCTGCTTTGGGAGCTGAAGATGGTGATGCAGCCCGCCCTGGCTGTGCACCAGCTGGTTGCATCCGGCGGTCGCGTCAAGGCTTAAAAAACATCAGTCGCGAGCGCATGCATATATATAAATGCACGCAAGTGTGATGCCTCCTGTACCACCTTGGCCGGTAAATCCCCACCATTCTGCCGCGAACCCCGCCCTGTGCAGTACTACATTAATGAGATGCTGGGGCTGGTGGCTGGCCACTGCGGCATGGTGGCGCGCATCAAGCTGCAGTCCATGCCCTTTGGTGAGGCTGCTGCCCGCCCTGCTGCCTGCCGTCATCTGGGGCGCAACGAGGCCGGCCCTGCGGGACCCTCAAGAGACCACCAGGCAAAAGCCCGGCGCGAGCAAGTGGCTAGGCGGACACCAGCCCGCGCAATGACTGCCATCTGGATCTGGCCAAACCCTGATGCAAGCTGTGCTTTGGCCCTGCCCATGTCCACCCTATCGGCCCAGGCATGACACTCTTCTGCACTGGCTGGACCTATGTCTGGTGAGCCGCAGCTGCCCGCCAATACCCAACAGCCACCCAGGGCGCTCTGCTGGGCAAGGACTCAACCATTCGCCGCTGTGTACGCGAATTCGCTCGGATGCTTGCACCCTCACGCTTTATCCCCCTTTGTAACGCCTGGGTTCCTTCTCACCCTGCCGCGCTGCCGCTCCGCCCTCAAGGCTCCTGCTGCTGCCCTTTGGCGTGTTCCCCGAGGCGTCCTGGTCCGCCATGCTACCTGTGTTTATGATGGCGGTAATGATGCTGGGGCTGGAGGACCTGTCCAATCAGGTGACGCGAATTTCATGCTCTCCTGATGTGCCGGCGGGCAGGCGCGATCTGTACATGGCAAGAATTGCGTAGCGTCTGTACAGCTTGGGGGACGGAACCGGGGCCGACAAGAGGAGCGCCGGCTTCGGCAGCCCACAGCGGCCAGGTTCAAATTTTGCGTGTCCGCCACTCACCTTACCTGCTCCTCCCTCAGCCAGCCAAATCCATGCGACCCACAAGGTTTAAATTGGCCTGATTCGCTGCCCAAACACTGCTGACGCCCTCTCGGCATGCTTCACTAGCCTCTGCTGTTGCCACAGCACATTTTCCTTGGTGACTGTTGGTCGCATTGCTAACGATTTCATGTGTCTTCTCCCAACCACCTTTCCTGCCTCTGCAGATGGAGGAACCCTTCAAATTTTTCGCATACGGTGCGGCACCCTCGCCCTTGCTGAGCCGCACTGGTTGGCCTCGTCACATCGTTCATTGCTCGGCTGCCGCCTTGCTGGCGCTGGTGGCGTGCGCCTTTGGCACAGCCATCACTCTGCACTGCGCACCACACGCCCCTTGCAAAGCACCCAGGCAGGCTGCGGCAACGAGCACCCCGCTGCATGCCGCACGTTTTGCGTCTGCAGAGGCCATGGTGGCGACGAGCGCCAAGGACATGCCGCGCACAGTCTGGGAGGTCCAGGAGTGCAAGGCTGTGATAGACAAGAAGTACCGCCCCTCGATGGGCAGCGACGGGTCTGCGGAGGACGCGGGCATCCCTCCGTGGCCATCGCTCGCGCCGCTGCAGCAGCGCCTGTGAGGACAGGTGTGAGCGGAGAGAGTGAGGGATGCGTTTGCGCGGCTGTCGGCGGCTGGGTTTGTGTTGTCATTCTTTGCAGGGCGTAGTCGAAGTGTTTGGCTGTTTTTAAATTTAGCGTGCACTACTACTTGAAATAATTGATGGGTAGGTGTGATGGCCAGATCTTGACCAAGTGTAGGTGTTGAACACGTATCTTTCTGCACACGCTCCCATCACAACTTTACTTGGCTGTGTTCCAGGTTGTGTGAACCACAGCTGCATCAACTTGACTTTGCCAGCCAGTTCCCAGTAGCTTTCCTTACACATACGTACCAACCGCTCCACGTTCTGCTCACGAGTTGTCTAGGCGGCACACGACCTGCAGTCCATATCACATCCACTTGTCCCTGTGCATTCAAAGTGCCACAAGTCGTGATACTGCAAACTTATCATGCAGCTGCAGGACTGTAAATTGCTTGTTGGAACAGGGAAGCGCGTGCGACGTGGACGTGTAGATTCTCATGTCGGAACTGGTTCCTTAGATTACTTTGTTTTTGAAGGTGAATCATCCGCGCTGGATTGATTGTGTACATCAGCATCCTGCGCAAATGCACGCGCCAGGGATGGCAAGCATTTAAATAAGCAGCACGGCACAGATGGCAAACATTCAAACATGCAGCACGGCTGCCCTCCTGGATGCGGGTACTGCTCCACCAGGGGGGAACACAATCGCAGCCACAATAAGCGCTCATCTGGCGGCCAAATGTATAGACGAGGCGCCGTCAATGACACTGCCAGCCTGAAATGGCAAGCTTCACCCCAAACCAGCCAGGAAGGCTGCGGTTGCGCTTAGGGTGAGATTCAGAGCGCATGTCATGCGACCCTATCAGCTGCGCATGGACTGATGAACCATGAAAGGCACGGTGCCCCTGACACGTGCCTGCTTGCACCATCTCGGTGGGTGAGAGGCCATGCTGCACATCTGCTCTGCGGCAACAGCAGGTCTGCTGGTGTGCAGCACATTCAAATCATCAACCTGCCAGCTGCCACCACACCGTGGCAGTGGAGTACCGTACGGCAAGTTCTCGTGCAAATCAACACCACAGTTGTTCTGATTTGTAAGTTGATTATTGACCGTGCAGCGCTGATCTGCCCGCCAGGGAGGCACGCCGCCAGCCCGGGTGGGCTGCTATATAGAGCGGCCAAAACAGACAGAATTATGGAATTTAACACGCGGGTCGTGACTCTCCTGGCGCAGCTGGGTTACCAGGAGGAGACACCCGACAGCATAGCAGCAACCTGCAAGGGCAACCTGAAGCGCATCTGGGAGTTCCTGCTTGACAACGCGCGCCCCGCCGCCGAGTGCGACCGCATCGGCCGCGCGGTGCGCGAGTACCAGCAGCAGCAGGAGCTCAACAGCGCCGCGGCCTCACGAGCCGCACGAGCGGGGGCGCTTCGAGAGCAGCTGCGTGTGCTGCGGCGCGAGTGCAGCCAGGTCGAGCGCACGCTTGTGCAGCAGCAGGAAGAGCTGCGGCTGCAGGCGCGCGCAGTGGTGGACGAGTCGGGGGATGCGCTGCTGGCAGAGCAGGAGCAGCGCGATGCAGAGCTTCTGGTGAGCGCACCTCACCTGAAGGCTGGTGCTGGGATGCTGCTGTCCGTGCGGCTCGCTGCTCCGGCAGTGTTGCTGCAATGCAGCTGCACCAAGTGTGTGTGTGTGTGTGTGTGTGTGTGTGTGTGTGTGTGTGTGTGTGTGCGTGCGCGCGCGCACGTTCTCGCGCCTGTCACCACCTGCTTGTGGACAGGCTGATCTCCAAGCACTCTTGACATCCACAAAAGCATATCCGCCGTCGGCTTCGTTACCCCATTCAGCGACCCTTCCAACCCGCCGCCAGACCCTGGCGCTGGGCTGCTTCACACAGCGCAGCAGCCGCTTTGCTGGGCTGATATCAGATCGTCACGCCGAGCTGAGCGCGTCCTCTGCGCGGGCCCGAGGGCGGCAAGACCAGCAGCACCCAGGCGGCGGCGCCGCGGCGCCCAGCGCGCGGCCGGGCGCGGCCGCGCACATGCTGGAGGAACTGCAGCAGCTGGTTGACCTTGTGAGGCAGGAGATGCAGCAGGCGCTTGACTTGCAGGCGGATGCGATAGCGGAGATGCCCGCGCCAGGCGCTGCCGGCCCCTTGCTGGGGCATTCAGCACAGGCGTCTGACTGCAGCGGCGACGGCGGCGGCGGCGCTCGGCGCGCGAGGCCGCGCGCAGTTGCCGGCCACGCGCCTTCGCCCGAGCTGTCCGAGCGCCTGGCCGCGCTGCAGCTGCGCCCGCCCGCCGCGCTGCTCGCCTGTGCGTGCGCGCTGGCGGACCGCTCGGTGTCACGTCTGCGAGCGCTGCTCGCAGGCGGCGAGGCGGCGGCGGCGGCCGCCAACGCGGCTGTGGCGCAGCTGCCCGAGGAGATCAAGCAGCGGCGGGCGCTCATGCCTTGGACCACCTCCCCTGCGGACGCGGCTCTCGCTGAGGGCGGCGCCGGCGACGACTGCGGCAGCAGCAGCGTCGGCGCGGGCGACGCGGCCGACGGCGCGCGGCCGGACGCAGATGAGCTGATCCGGCTGCGGCAGCGGGCGCACCTCAAGCTCTGCCTGGACGCGCGGCGCGCGTCCAAGGCGGCGGCGGCGGCGCGCGCGCGGCTGGAGGGCCTGCTGGGGCGGCCTGAGCTGGGGCCGCTGCAGGGGAGCGAAGGTGGGGGCTGGGCGTTTGCGCGTGCCTTCGGCGGGCAGTGGGCCTTGTAGGTGCAAGATCAGGGTTGCTGTTGTGCAAGCGCGCTCGCACACACACACACACACACACACACACACACACACACACATTAAAAACACGCACACACGCACTTATTTCAACTCACGCACGCAAACATGACATGACGATTCACCGGCACATGCATCGCTGCGAGCCCCAGCAGCTCACACAGCGCGTGTCCGCCCGCCCGTGCATGCCCCTCTCTGCCAATTTCGACGCGGCTTACCCCCCTTGCACCGCGCAACGCACCCCGTATGCCCTGTTTCAGGGGCGCGCGCCGCCGCGGCGGTGTGGCTGGGCGTCCAGTCAAAGCGCGCTGAGGTGGCGGCGCTGCAGGCGCTGCAGGGGCAGCTGCTGACCGAGCTGCGGCGGCGCCAGGAGGCTGAGGGCGCGCTGCGCGGCAAGTGGGGGGAGATTACTGAGTTTATGGCCGAGTACCGCCGGCAGGCGGCTTTGCTGTGTTACTTATCGGAGGACAGCGCCGCGCTCAGCGGCGAGCTCGGGGCGCAGGCGCGCGCCGCGCGCAGCGCCGTCTCGGGGGAACTCGCGCCCGCGTGCGCGTCCGCGCGCGCCGCGTCCCGCGCCGCGCGCGGCGGCGCCGCGCGCGAG